ACTTAGCTGTAATGCTACTTAGCCTACTGGCTAGCTTCTCACGCGTCTCTCACCAGATGCCGGAGTTGCTTCATCGTCCACCCACTCTGCTTCTTCTTTCACCTTTTTGGGCATTTTATTATTTTAACTACAATTTTCTGAAATTACAGCTGCTAAAAAATGTCGTTTGTTTCTCTTCTATTTTAAGCCAGGAGGCTTTCACAGCCCCACACACATGTGACACGGCGACCTGATGACGTGAAGATGTCGGATCGCCAACGACGTTAAAATTCTTCTTCTTCGCCAAATGAGTCAGTTACCACCAACTTTACCGCCACCATTGTGTTGGATGACCGCGTGCAGAATATTTCTTTAAATACAGCCGTGTTTGTTTATCTGACTCTGAATCAGTTTCATTTATAATTTTACATTAGGCTATTTTATTTGCAGATAAGCACCTCTGAAGAATAAAGAATACAAATATGATATACCCGGGTTTAAGTAATGAAATGGATTGAAATGAGGGTTTCCTGTTCCAGAAAGAGAATTAACTTTAACTCTGAGTCAGCTGCCATGGTAACAATCTCTGTGAACCTAATCTGCTCGCTTGCAGGTTTTCTTTAACAAACTCTGAATTTCTCTCTGACCTTTGCCCTCCTGCTGCCCCTGAACCAGCTGACTGACACACCGATTCCTGTCCTCACTGATAAAGGAGCGAATTAATTTGTACAAGTTTACAGTTTTACAAAAACTGAAATTCAGATTTATGTTAGTTTGCTATTTTGTGTAATTAACTTGAATGTTTTTACAGCCACTCAGTCGTAAATATATAATTGAGACAGCGTTTATATTTATTTATCAGCTCAGAATAAAATCAATAGTCTCCATCTGGACAGTGATGCTCTGAGACTGTTAGCTTCCATGCACTGCAAACATTTATGGCCTGGTGTATGTTACACATTTATGAATAATAAATCATCTGTAACCTTGAGTGAAAAATGTCCATCACAGTTGAATCTTGGAGATGAATATTTGAGTGAAGATGAGGCTGAAATGACTTTAAGATTAAACACTTAACTAAATCTATTCAAAGTAACATGAAATGCAGCTGACAGTCTGTGTTCTGACTACATTAGTGTTGAATTGTGTTCATCAGTTGAACTTCAGTCATTTAAAGACAAAACAACATTTTGGTGGTGTCTGAAATTCAGAATCTGAGCCTCGACATATTTTTCTCTAAAAATCATCCGAACCATAACCAAACCAGAAAATATTATTTAAAAACTCAGATCATATTATATATCATACCATTAACTGTTCCTGGTGTTTTATACATCAATCAGATAAAACACCAGCTATTGATAAGAAAAAACAAGTTACAGAAAGTCTTGAGTGAGTAGTGCATATGTGAATATGACCTGAATGATATAACAGTGGGTTGAGTCACAATGTTCATCAGTGTGACAGCCGTGTGTGTGTGTGTGTGTGTGTGTGTGTGTGTGTGTGGGAGGGGGGGTGTGTGTGTGTGTGTGGGAGGGGGGGTGGGGTTTAGTAAAGCGCTCTGTAGAGCCTCCCTGAAGGCTGCAGTTTGAACAGTTTTTATCTGGGATGTGAGGGGTCTGCAGAGATGTTTTCTGCCTGCTTCCTGGACCTTTACAGGTCCCGGATGAAGAAAAGATCAGCATCAATGAGCCTCTCTGCAGAGCCGATAGTCTGTTGCAGTCTGGCCCTGTCCTGCTTCATGACTGAGCCAAGCCAGACAATGACTGATGTACATAGGACAGACTGGATGATGGCAGCAGCTCCTGTGGCAGGTTGAACTTCCTTAGTTGCTGCAGGAGGTACAACCTCTGTTGGGCCTGCTGAGCGGGTTCAGCTCCAGGTGGTTCTGACTGCACCATCTTATTGTTATATATCAGACCAATGACGGTGGTGTCATCCACGGACTTCGGGATTTTCACAGATGGTTCTCCTGAGGTGCAGTTGTTAGTGTAGAGGGAGATCCTGCAGACCCTAGTCGATAAATTACTGACTCTTGGACTGAGCTCTTCTCTTTGTAACTGGGTTCTGGACTTCCTGACCAACTGGCCGCAGTCTGTGAGGATCCACAATGTCTCCTCATCTTCCATAGTCCTCAGCACTGGCTCCCCTCAGGACTGTGTGCTGAGTCCCCTCCTGTTCATGCTGCTTAGATATGACTGCTCGCCTAATCACCCTGGCTGTCATATTGTCAATTTTGCAGACGACACAGCTGTGGTGGGATGCATCACAAACAACGACGAGGCCAGCTACAGGAAGGAGGTGGAACAATGGAGGACTGGTGCAGGAAAAACAAGCTGG